CCCAAAATCAAACCATGACGTTAGGCCTAAGGAGTCATCCATTTTTGTCATTTTCATGAGAGTATGAAACGTACGCTGGGAAGGAGAGATTAAATTGGTTGCATACGCTTTTAGAAACATGTTAAAAATGACGATTGTCATAGACCAGTCAACTATCACCCAAACTATTGCGTGTGTGCAGAGAGTGCGCAGGACTCTGATGCATCATTCATACAAGTTTGGGCAATGGCTATTTCTTAACCACTCAACGATTTTAGCTGGTGTCATAAAGGAAAAGTACATACACAAGTACCAGGCAAAATTCACTAACGTTGAAGTCACAGCCACATGTGAAACAGTCTTCGAGCGCCCCCAAAGATCCGCTACGCCGTGCATGCTATGACGTTTGATATCCAGACACAAGTGTATTTTAAAGTTTATTTGTATACGCTTTTTCCCTTCTGTGGAAAGGTGCCCTGCTTAGTGCACAGCGTGCATTAATACTTGCAAGTTTGTACATGTACGTAACGATGCAAAAAAATCAAATTTGTAGGCCTAACTGTATACTTTTTACCACATTTTATAAGCTTTTGTGAAGAGAACAACTCAAATCAAAGGTTCTTGGACACAACACAAAACACACTTTTATTAAAGTTAAAGTACCTATCCTTCAGGCAATTTGTCCTTAATTATTACTTGCCCCGAACTGAAAGAGGAATTTGTCCCGGGCAATAGGAAAACCGCAAATGTCGAGGCCTGTCATGGACATTCTAGTTCATGCCTACAGTACATGTACATCATAACAACAGTTTTGGTGAAAGGCAAATTTTAGCGACAATAGTTCTGGTGGAAAATAAAGGAAAAAATCACAACGGCTACATGCAGGCGAGACAAACCCAAAAATCACTCCCTGGATGATGATTTAGACTTACCTCTTGCATGAAAGAGGAAAACTGGGCCTCATTTTGGCTTATTTCGTCTTTCGACGTGCTGCTGTTAGCCGCCATGTTTTTAACTTTTACATGAACACGACATTGAGGGCGCACTCTCTCAATTGTTCATACGGATCCGGTTATCGACATGTGACGGAACGAAGCGCTGTAATGAGTAGATACATGTAGGTAGATGCAAGGAGGCGTGGGGAGCCACCCCCCGCCCCCGCGACCAAAAAGCATTTTGTTTCTGAAAAATTACGAAGAGCGGCGATTTATTAAGCGTTCTTTTTCATGACCCTTCCTTCCTGAAACGTGTAAAAAGTTGCAAAATGTAATCTAAACCCTCTGAAAGGCCATAAAAGGAATTTACATGGCCCCTATTTCCATGGCATTTTTTTGGGAAACAGATTATACACCTCCCCAAAAAGAATTTGGTTCTTGATCCCTCTTGTGTAACTTGTAAGTTCAGTGCCGCAACAGGCCAGCATAACACGGCATTAGAGAGCGAACAAAGTATCCCACTGGGAAACCAGCTGGGCTGGTACATGTACATGAGGGTGTATACATGTACATCACTGTATTAGAGATAACTGTTTGACCTCGTGGTGACCCAAGATGGACGCACAGCGAGAAAAAAAAGAAACGAAAACAGCGATCAGCTGGACGTCACCTGCCGGAAGAGGTAACGAATGATGGTCAAGGCCAAGGAGAGGGCGGTCAGCTGGACCATAATTCGCTGAGTGAGCTTCAAATGACGCGTATCATGAATCGCTACAGCCTTCCTGAGAGATAAAAAGAAACCATCACCGTATCATGGTTGAAAAAAAAAATTGTACAGGATCCCTCAGGATTTGGACACTCCAACAGGATTTTTTCTAGACAGCTAATGTAAAAAGAATGTTCATAAAAGAGGCGTATATTATAAAACGTACGCTATCCCGACTGTCCGTCCGAACCATAACGACGTTGTGTTTCACTCTCTAGCTAAAAGAGGACCCCTTTCGGCATGAATGGTTCCGTCCAAGGTCGCCCAACTAGGTTCATTCCTTTTGTTCTCTATCCAGACACCATGCATTCAAGCAATGCCGGTGATGTTTAGATTTCCCAATCTACAGACAAGGTGTATGCACTATTTATGGGGGATGATGCTGCCTCTGACGGCCCCCATGTTTCATTTACAATTTACAAAAGACTGTCCCCCAGTAAACGGATTATCGCACATCCCGCCCACTCATCGTTTAGTCACCAGTCAATCAGCTGATTGAAGCGACGACTCTTCACCAAACCACGGTGTTGAGGTATCCCTCCTTGGAGTGACTAAAGATCACCCAAAGGGTTCCTTTATTTATCTTTTTTGGGGGTGCAAAACAAGTGCCAGTCGACCTTTCGACAGACAATCGCGGGGGTCACGTCATCGCACAGTAGCGATGCTGACTTTGTTGACGGCCGGCAAGGTTGAACCGTGCGACCCTGATCTTGGGGTCTTCAAGTTGCGATGCACCCTGCAAGTCAGTCACCAAGAGGAGTAAGTCTACCACCGGCCTCCGACACGATTAACCTACTCGCCGAGCATCGACCATGAAGCACGCGGGGGCCGAGGTGCCCGATGGCCGGGCTCAGGAAACGCCTGGCTCGGTGGATTACAACCCGACGACGGGCAAGTCTGCAGCCAAATGCCGTCACCGCAGACAAGTCAGGCAAAGTGGCTTCTCACCGTGTAGTTGGTTCCGGAACGGGGGTTTCAAATACTTGTTCGTGGTAGGTCAGACTTTTTTTCCCCTTGTGTGTTCGATATTTCTATTTCAGAAATTTACCTGATGCTTTATAATAACGATGATTGCTCTACACATGTCCACTCTGCAAATTTATGCATGAGATGCTATTATAAACAAATCCCGTAGGACACAATTAAACAATTTACAAAAAACAAATCGAAATTTAAAAACATCAAGAATTTTGAATGGTCCCTTATCTGTATGTTGTCTTTAAACCATCATATTATCTGTTTTGTTGGTGGCACAAATAAAACCCATATTCTTCTATGCATGGCCTGTTCGTTGTCCTGAGTTTTATAGAACCCACATAAGAACCTCATGGTCACACAGCACGTTTATATCTACACTACCTAGCGTGACACTGACCTTCAAGTTGTGTGAACGCTTGCAACTTCTGGTTATCAGAATTGATGTGTAACAACTACAGAGCAAGTCAGGCTGTGTGTTGTCTTAGTCAACAAACCACCGACAACACAGCCAAAAGCACAAGCCATACGTGTATATCTAGGCCTAGTTTTATTTCCTTCCAGTCTGGCTATGAGCTCAGGTCAAACACACTTGAAGGGTCACGATCGTTAAGTTGATATCAGGAGCAATTTATCTCCCTTTAATAGCTTACAATTGTTTTTATGGATGACAGCCTCTCTCAAAACTGTCAACTAGATTATTGTAAGGCTTGACTGGTCCAGTCTATGGCCCAGTGTAAAAGAACAATCGTGAATCCTTTTTTTTTTCTCGAGGCCTCGTTTTTGCTACAATCTGCAAACATCTGAGTGGTCCCGCATCGAACCATACTTCAGTAGCAGACTTTGCAGTTTATGCTCACGTCATCTGACGTGACCCAAAGGGAGACTCTCACTTTCGATGGTTATAAATTTTACAAATTAGTCTTCATTAGTAGAGCTGCTGGATGCCTGCAGTCTTTGGGCAAACGATCGTGGGAATTATTGTCTGAAACTACTTTTTGAGATGTGAAGCGGCCTTAAAAAAGTTATAATAACGTAACTGTCAACTGATTATTTGATGTATACATACATTTGATGTATAAAATTTTATGTAGAGGTTGGTAAATTTTCACACTTTTTTCAACTTTCTGAAAGTTCGTGAGAATGGCCACATGGAAGTTAAATTCAGGGAATTAACATTGATATCAGACAAAAGTGTCTCATTGTTAATACCATTCTTAGTAAGTATGTGCAAAAACATGAATGATAATCACAAAATAACATTTCGTATCCCCCTTTAAAATGCTAATAGCATCGCTTGAAAACATGTATCGTTCGACGCGTCATGAAACCACGGAGCTGATGAAGCATACTGCTACTAAGGTATGCAAGTGCAAAAACAGCCTGTTTGTTGTTTCAAACAACGGCTGCGACAAACCGTATCGCAACCTCGTTCAGAATACCCCCTAGACACACACCTTCTTATAAACCCTTGCCTGCGAATCATGCATGGTGTCCGTCAACGGGTAACAATGGATGTTTATGGGAACAATGGTAGTTTGGGTATGGTGCTTGTACTCACGGCTGAGCGATCCTTTAAACGATTCTCGCCGGTGGAAATTTAAGTGGCGTAAACATGTATGTGACAGTTTGTAGAAGTAATTACATTTCTGAAAAAGGGAAAAAGACAGACATAAGGCAAGAACGGTAGCAAATACCAAGCTGTGACCAAATAGCAATGCGATTGTCAATGACACCCTTCCTAAAAGATTAAACAAAACTATGAACCATTTAAAAAGCCTATTTTTAAGTTCGGCACAAGCCTAAAATTGCATCTGTTTTTAAACCGCAGCTAAAATTTAATTATAAATGGAAATCGCTTAATCACTTTAATATTATACTTTATTATCATATTTCATTCTCCAACAATAATCATTTTCCAGCTAATGGAAATCAGTGTCTATTTTTAAGCACTGCACATAAAATACGAGACAGGTCGTCTAGACTTTACCGCGTTTTGGTATGTCAAGTACCCGCTTCCGTTTCCGGGACGGTATAGTTAACTTTCCAATGTTGCCCGACAACCGAAAAGTTGACCTTTTACAAGTCCACGTGCGCGCTTTGCAGAGGTAAAGGGTGCACTGATTGCTCATTTTTTGAAGCTTGCCTCTCTCCGTACAGGTTGTGTGGACGGGTTTAAATGCAGCTGTGTTCTGTTGGAGCTACATGCAATACAAGATGGAGGCAAAATACTACTACCTTCGGGGAATTCTAGGGGTAAGAGTCAATATAAAGAGGCGTGTACCCCCCTCCCTTCCCCTTCTTTCCGCTTTCTGCCGTGTACCATGGGTAATGGATGCATTTCCCCCATTCTTTAAGCAAAGGAAATCATTAATATCACGATAAAAAATACACTTTTTAAATTCAAAATTACACTTTTTAAATTCAAATTTACACTTTTTTAATTCAAATTTTTTTGGATTAAATTATCTCTTTTCATTATCTCTTTTTTAAATATTTAAAATCCTAAGAAAATTCGCTAAAAATGTAGGGCTTATTTATGTAATGAGACGGAACTAACCTCTGTGACGGCTGCCTCCCTTTTCTTGTAATCCCCAAGCCAAGCCCCGCCCCTTTATTCACTCACGATCCACAAAATCTTCTTATGTAAATTCTACACACCAAATTGTTTTGACAGCTTGGATTGTGCGTTTCGCGGGGCTCTGCCGCCGTGCTCAATCTCAACTGTGCCACGATCTTGCTGCCTATGTGCAGGTGCTTGCTGTCGCTTATACGGAGATCTAAACATGTAAGTTGACACCAACTTTTTAAAAACCTGTGTACAGAGTCCACGGGAATTCAAATACACGTAGAAAAAAATTAAGAAACTGAGACAAAACTGAAACGGAAACATTCAGAACAGGGACGAAACTGAGATGAAAGACTGTACTGTAATTGTGGATGGTGTTGACTAGCAGACTGTAAGCGCGCCTCGCTGAATTCCAGCTTGTCATTATAAACGTCATTATTCATCATCCTGAAAGCTTGAACTTTTCCTTTATTTTTGAAACGTCTCACAAAGCAAAATGAAATTATCGTAACGGATACCTGTGAATATTTAGGGTCAAAGTTGGCATGTAAACGGTAATTGCCTCCACGTTAGAGCATTGGGGAATAAGACACATCCTCCATGGTTAGAGTGAGTGCATTCGCACAACGCCAGCCCACCTAGTGCAAAAAAACATGACACGGTGACCACTTAAACCCGTTTGTTCTGTGACATAAAGAGGCTAACTGACATATTTTGCCTGAATTCCCGCCTGTCAGACTATTTGTGCTTCCAACCACACACGTTGCGGGGCTTGCTTCATTTCCAATCTGTCCAACCCGATATTTTTTGCCGAAGATTTAGAAAAACAAACTCATGCCTCTTGCGAAACAATTTGTTTATGAATCTGTTCTTACACGCATCATTTTAAAGGACATTCGGGCCATGTAAGATCTGTGATCTTTTGACCTCTGCAACAGAATGTCTTTTTAGGCTTTGTCAAGAAGTTTTTTTAATGTCAGAACACGACCTAACTATGCGTGACCATCTACGGAGACTCATCCTTGACAATGATGGTCGATTAAAATAAAAACCAAGCTACGCAAAATTGGGTATTTGCAATAACATCACTGTCAACATGACCCAAAATCTTCCAGTAAGCTGTAAGGTGATGTTGTGAAGACATTCGAGACACGTGAAGTTCACATGTCCCATTAAAAGCACGGCGCGGTCTGCGCGGTAGTTCATCTAGTGGACAAAGGTTGACCTTTATTGTGTTTGATATAACCGCATTGGGGGCGGCTGATGACGTCACCGTGTGTGCGTATTGTTCTTGCCCTTGACTTCAGATACTCTGAGCAATCCCCAGAGAGACCACAAACCTCTTTGAAACAAAAACAAAACAAAACAAAACACCACACACAAAACAAAAGAACAAATGAACAATCGACTCCTTTAAGTTCAGGATTTTTTTTTACAGTAAGATTAAGCTTGACTCCCTTTTGTGGGCTACCGTGCATAATAACTGTCTGCTTCAGTTGCTGGCAGCAGTGGTAAACTCGAGGCCATTAGGTTCAGGGAACGTTCTCTGATCGTCAGTCTCATAGGGATAGCCAGTCTGACAGAGATGCAGGGATCAGAAGGGTTCTGAAGTTTTTCACTAAATCCCTGCATCCCGTTTGCCGACATTCCCCCGAACACGAACAGAGAGCACCATTTGAAGCGTTGAGCTGTACGAGGTTCTCCTGAGAACCACACACAACTCACAAAGGAAATACTCGACGCTACCACAAAACCCGTTAATTAATTTCAATTGCTTCTCTGCAGGGTACACTTTCAGGTCTTAGCGATCTGATTAATTAGGAGAGATGCATTAAGCTAAATTGTGACTAATTTAATGTCCAACAAAAACCACATCACCAAACTACAATCAATTAAGGTGCCATTGTTCCTGAAATTTAAGATTCTAGTGGTATGGTTTCTCCCTCCAATCATAACATAATTCTCTTGGTCAAGAATCCGTTTGATTGCACTTGTCTATCTTACAAAACGTAGTGCGTTCTCAACTTGGCATCACACCTTCGGTCAATGACCTTTCGGATAAGCAGGTAATATATATACGCGTAGTCTTGAAATTAGTTACCAATACACTAACTACATCATGTACTTGGAAATCAGGTTGAAGCAAACCATGTTTGAACTTCAAGACACGCATACGGAGTTCACTAACTCTGCGGTTATTGTGGCTCCCGCGTGGACATGGACACATTTTATTCCCAAATTAAAGTCAGGGGAAATTCACCGTAGGCCCTAAACTTAATTGAAATCAGATTTCGCATTGACCCAAACATATACCTCTGAATAAAGTTTGTTCAACAACGGGTTCTCATTAGTTCTTAAATCGGAAATTGACAATTGATTTTTTTTAAGTGTTCTAAGTTCTGGATGGCCATTCATTTCATTATTTATGTTTCCTCTGAACAGGTTCATCGCACCACGAGAAAGTGTCTCGATCGCAGTCGATTTATTCACATCGTTATTGCGATCTACATCTGCCTGGGAACAGGTAAGCACGTTTGGACCCCCCAAAAAAAGACTTTTGAAAAAGCCATAATATAAATCATGTAGTTTCGTACAAATTATTTCACAGTACTTTTGCCGGAAATAATATCCTTTTCACCGGGACACTGCCACTCTTGTAAGTCTGAAATTTTTGAAGATGAAATATGGTAAGTCGTTGAAGTCATTATAAAATTTAGGAACCATCACCATTTTGGTTTATGCTTTCTTCAGCCGTCCACTGTGTCGCCCATTTCTTTAACGCCGTGAGCTTTTCCGCCAACTACAACGTCAACGTCCCCGACGTGAATGTGGCTAGCTACCTCGGGGAGGTAGGCCCTATATTCAAACACGCAATATGATATTACACACCTTCTGGTTATTTGAAGTTTTTGTTAGCACGAGGGGAAACAAACATATTCACTGACATCCTTACCCCACGTGGTGTTTGCTTGAGGCAATCTCGCGCAATCCAGTTTGATTGACACGTGCCTGTCAGTTCAGAACTGATAGCCTCAACACGAGGAGGCACCGAGAAATGTTTGATACGGCAGACATGGTCAAGCAACGCACAACCACAATGTAAACAGGTTACCACCTTTCATCCTTGGGTTATAGATATTATTATTAACAAAGTACATTAAGGCGCATTTTCCCGCCGAAAAAAACAACACCACTGACTGAGTGACAGAATAACAGACCGACCTAGGACCCATCAACCGACTTTTTCTTGGTCACGTTACTAGCGGTGAAATCAATTGAACTGAATTTGTCGGCAAACTGACCACTATTCAAGTCATATACCAAGTCATAACATCGACCAAGTTAGTAAACGCCATTCAATGACATCGATCAACGACAAATCACTATTTTCCATTGTCAATGACAGTCACCTCACCCGTTGCTAATACAACCGACCATCATCCCAAATATCTTTGCGTTTCCCTCCCCTCTTTCTCCAGAACCCCTGTCGGATTATTTTCACAACAGGTAAGGTCACCCTCCGACTTCCTCTGACTTCCGTAACTTCCACAAGACGCACAGTGCAGTGTTGGGAGAAGAAAGGCTCCAAAGAATTGAAATTTGTCGCTGCTGGATATTGCAGCTAAAAACGAAACAACCTGTACTTCCGCTTTGCGGATGTCAGTCTGGGTTGTGTAAACAGTTTCAGAATCACTACGGTAGTCTTACGGAGTAATCAAATCAAGTGATATCATCCTGTTCTGTAGATTGGTTTAACTCGTCTAATTGCTGACGTTTGTCACTGATGGATCAACGACTGAAGAAAAGTTAGCGTTTAAACAAAACTCTGCCGGTTGTACCGCTTGGCTCACGTTGACTGTAACTACATATTCAAGAATATTTATTTGCCTGTTCGTTTTTATTTGTGTGAATTCAGATTTGGATTCGTAGAGCAAGCTCCAAATGAGCTAAACTTCAACTTCAAAGTCTTATAAGGCTCCCACTGAAAAATCATAAAAATAAACAACTGAACTGAACTGATGTGTGGTACTTTTGTGAGGAGTATTGAGAATTTGTCATTAAGGACAACTTCAGCACAAGCAACTGCTGAATTCATGAAATGAAGACTTTAGTGCACTCATATAATCCGATTATTCAAATGCTCATTTTTCTTACCCACAGTGCCCGGCGTGACGGGTTGCCTCATGCTGCTGATACTAGTAGCCATTGTCCTGACGTCATGCCGAGCTGTTAGGTAAAACAAACGCCTGGACTCAATGTTTCTTACAAGTGCGTTTGATGAAGCACAGAACCACTGATCAGAACTTTACAGACCAAGCAAAATGAAGCTTTTTAATACTATAAATATGTTTGCGCCGCTCGCCATGTATTCCTTCCTCCATGCTGCAATGCATTTTTTTGGACACAATGTTTCTACAACTTTCTACTCTTCTTCAATGTGTGAAAACTCTTTTACATTCCTCTTAAATGCACTGAAAAGTGCACTTTTTTAAATTGTTTAAATTATCAATATTTTCCTGTGCAACTGAGGGCGCTGTTGCCATGATGTCATCCAGGAAAGACAGAGTTCAGTGTGGGTTTTTTTTCTGTTTAAACTTTGAACCCAGAATTTATTTACTAAACATTTCTGAGAAAGAGATTGACGCTTACCTATAGTGTTGTACGCATAGACGACAATGGATCAGCAAAGAAGAGAAAATTTAGTCCAGCAAAATTTACAAAAATACAGAACTTTTTGCGTACACACTAATGTAACATTGAGGTTTTCTTCCTGGGATGACATCACAGTTTCACACATGAATATTAAAATACCATTAGCATGAAAACAAAAATAGGAAAAATAAAGAGCCCTTGAAATTGTTAAAGAAAACTTGAAAATAAGGTTAGCTGATGCTGAGACACAACGGTGCATTTTGAAGGTCCTTCTTAAAACAAATTGATAGCAGCTACCGGGACCCTTTAAGCTAGAAGGCTGTTTTGCTCAGAGGTTGTGCTTCGTAACAATTTTTAGTGTTGTAGAAATCTGTCCATAAAATTGGGCATACTTTCGCAGGAAGAAATCTGGTCCAGAAGATGTGTTATTTTAATGGTTCACAATCTCTCAGAAGGTCACTGTCTCAGAAATTGACCTTAGATACTTCTGCACTGTTTGGAAGTCGTGATGGTGGCAAACATCCCGCGTTGTTTTTGGTCTTACATTTTGTAGAGTTGTTAACAGGATTTTGTGTCAAAAGTAATTCACTATTCAACTCAACCAACCCAACTCAACCAGCTTTAAAGATCTAGTTGGAAGTAGCCCAACGTTGACATATAGCATTCTCAGCTGTTTCCTAACAACAGACCTCATGCATGGGTAAAACTCATATTATGTGTCCAACAAATAAAAAGCTGTTCAGCCAAATGTCCTGGCCCAAAGCGATACAACAATCGTGTAAGGCTCGACGGGCGACCCTCGTAATTGGACCCCCAATCACCACACTTAATTAAATCAAGTGGACTGTGTGGGCTACCTGTGGTTTGTCTAATAAGGCATGAGTTTTTGCCATTATTGTATGGGGAAAAAATTCCACGTGTGAAACTGCTGTACGTCTGACCCACGTTCAGTAATTTATTTGCCAATCTTTATTAAGTCAACCTTTAATCTCAAAACTGGTGGTTATAAGCACTTGAGCCCTGAGTGTGTTTGAAGACAATAATCAGACCTCTGCTATTATGTAAATTATGAAATCATCTTTATACATGTAATGTGTTTTTGGCATATCTGTGATGCGATTGAAAGTGAAATACAGTACACGACTGAAATTGAAAACGAATGTCACAGTAAGGTTTCCTTTTCTTAACAGGGCCTCAAGACATGAGCTGTTTTGGTACTGTCACCAATTCTTCTTTGTGTTCTATGCATTGCTTATATGCCACTCCATAAGGTAAGCTAATTTTCTGTCAACAATTCTAAAATGTCAAAGAATTGGTCAGTTAAGTTTTTTCTGTGTTAGTCTGTTGAATACACAACTTTTTTTCCCAGTGTCTGATAATTTAGTTTATAAACATAGCCTATTTTATCTGACAGTTTTGGCATTTTTTTTATGTAGAGGAGTTCTGAAGGAACAGCGTAACACCAACATGCACACACCAGGCTGTATAGACACTTCCATCCCAGCTGCCGAACCGGAACCCCAATCATCTGATTGGTCTGAGCACGAGTCACGTAACTTGCTCATGAAATTCAACTCGACGATGGTGTGTGAAGAGGAACCGGCTTTTGTTCCTCACAGATCGGATGTAAGTTGGCCCTGGGCTTAATCCTGAGCACTGGCTCTTTCTCTCTAGCATGCGCACCAGGAATTTCTGACATTGGTTTGACCTCCACATGAACTCAGCATCTTTCCTTAACAATATGATCCAGTAATGGTGTAATAAGAAAGTCTTTACATTTTTATGGCACTTACAGATCTTACTGAACACTATTTCTGTTTAGACTTTTAAAAAAATTTAATTTAAGTTTCTACGTGCACTCTCTTGTGCAGATTTCTCAATTCTAAAATCACAAGAACCATAGTTTCTCCTGCTATTTGGTCCTTCTGCGATTACATGGCATTGCCTAAGCTAGAAATTACAATAAAATTGATTCCTGCGTTATGAAATTTTTCTCCACAAAAGGCGCTGAAAAAAATCCCAAGGTGACATTTTAGAATAAATGCAGTCACATGAAAGTACTTATGAAAAGAGTAAGTTTTGCTTCAGCTTTGAAATCTATGGGTGTAGTGAGCAGAAGCTGAGCAGTTGTGACCCACTCTGTGAAAATGAGTCTTTAAGTCGCCAGAGCCACTTTGGAGTAAAAAAATCCTTTAGAATAATTTTGCACAGTGTAAATCAATAGCAACCCACACCATTTTTCACCATGGAGTATCCACTTTCATCAGGATGCCAAACTGAGTGATACGTCAAAACAGGAAACTCAATTTGCTCTTTCAAATACGAATGAAAGCTCAAAAAGTGGCTCTGGCGACTTAAGACTCATTGTCACAGAGTGGATCACAATTAGACATTACTTGGTTAGTAGGGTTGTCTTTCATACTAGTAATATTTACCCACTTGCTCTGCTCTACTTACAGACTTGGTGCTTTTTAATCCTACCAGCTGGCCTGTACATTGGCGAGCGACTGTGGCGACTCTTCAGGAGTTACCGATGCGTGACAGTCATTGGTATTCGATTTCACGCCTGCGACGTCATGGAACTTCAGCTGCATGTGGACCAATTCCAGGCACAACCTGGGCAGGTACGCCAAGATGTGTCAACTGTATATGAAATGCAGAAAACGGTTGTCATTGGAAGGAGGCATTGCCAATTTCAAAATGGGTTGTTGTGAGAAAACTTTTAAAGGATTGGAACTTGTTGAACAAGATGAGTATCTGATAAACAGTCAAAGACTACTGGGTAGACTAGTGCGTTTTGTTATAGATGGTTTCGATGGAGTCAGACAATTATGTCTTTCTCTCTGGCAAGCAAACGCATTTCAGCAACGTTTTCCTTTGTCCTTGCTCTTGCAGTATGTCATGTTGCGCTGTCCCATAGTGTCACGTTTAGAATGGCATCCATTCACTATTACCAGGGTAAGGCTTTTGGAAAATGCTGTTTCTCTTATTAGGCACACTGTGTAAACGAGATTATCTCAGATTCTGCATACATACATTTGGCTGTCCATTTCTATAATACATGCATTAGGATTTTTTGTGAATACCAATTTTTAGTTTAGCAAGCTGGTAAATTCCTGCCTTGAGAGTAACCCTGTTTAACGTATTTCTTTTTAAGGACGCCACGTGTCATTACGATTAGCCTCAGTCACTTCCGGCAATACATTTTCAACATTTCCAGATCTCTCTATGCTTCTATGTTCATGTATCTGATGTACAATACGAGCCAACAAGGATATTACTTTTTCGTGTCAATTACAAGGCAAGGTTTGGAGTATTCTGGTTTTGCTTTTCAGTGTCCATCTCAAAGAAACTCTACTTTCACTGTGCATATCAGAATTCAGGGTGACTGGACATGTAAGTAAAAATCTTTCTTTGTACATGTATTACTGTCATTTCTATGCAAAGCACAGAGACTTGAGTACAAACCTCTTGAGCATAAAAATTTGCAGTTGGTTCAACGATGTTTAAAATGTCTGCACGCTGTTTTTAATAGATTTCTTGTGAAAGTGTCAAAAATAAAGACACCGCATTCTTGAAATTTAAGTAAATATCAACAGCATAATCAGAAAAAATTTCTTTTCCAATTCTTGAACGTTCAGTAGATTAGCTTCAATATCAAGTGCCTATTTATCACAGAAATGTGGCTTCCATGATTAATTATGAAAAAATACATATTAATGTCAGTTCATAACAATTAACAGTTTGAACTAAATGTTTTCTTAAGTGTGTGTATACATGCATTTTTTATGATCATTAGTACTGCCCTGTTTTTCACGCCTTGGACACCACTTACGTCATGACAGTATTTTGATTTGAAACAAGTGCCAAGCCTAACAGTGACAATCTTTTCATTTACTTGTTTTATTCAATTCTGAAGGAAAACTGATCAACAATATGTTTACTCTTTTCACTTAGGCTCTCTCAGGAATCTATTAACCCAAGACTGTAGTCCCGGGAGTGGAGACACTGAATGCTTAAAGCTGCCAAAGTGAGTTATACAAGCAAATGGGGGGGGTACCCCATTTGAAATCTGTGAACAGTTTCTGTTGAAATGCAGCTGTGCCCTACGCCCCCCCCCCCATTTAGCTTTAGCATTTAGTTATGCCACTGACACAAGCCTTAATCAAATCATACCCCTGTGTGACTTCAGTGTTGGATTTCAAGCACCAGCGCTCAAGTTAAGATGTATAACCAGCGGTGGCCTCAACCTTGGACTCGAATTCACAGTAAAACAGGCCATAATTCAATCTCAAGTTTAGTGCGCATGACTGCCAAGTGAAAGCCACTTTTATGAGACTACAAATTTATGGATATTACAAAGTGAGCATGAGCCCAGCACATTTGCAATGCAACTAAATCAATTTATCTAACCAGTTACTTCATGATATTAATTTGTCATAACAGTGTGAAGATAGGATTGAGCTTTGCAAGCTAGCTGCCAAATATTTAACACAAACAAAATTATCTTCCTCTAATTACTTCACGCACAGTAAATTTCCTTGTGCCTCAGAAAGTCCAGTTTGGTTAACTTTAATTTCCAATCACCCCATTAAAATGAAAAATAGGAAAATTTCAAAATACCAAAGATTTCAAACTCAAAACTATCAAGTGACTCAGATCTGTTATCATGTAATTGAATAATGTGAAACCGATCTGAGTGTCTAGACAGCTGGAGTATACTGGCATGAACTCGCTTGAACTGTGTTTAAAACTGGGCCCTGAAATAATCCACGATCTGATAATAGTCTGGGTCTGGACAGCATTTTGAAAATGTATACATATACCCAGACAAGGACACTAGTCTTGGCTCAAGAGGAAGTGCTTCTTGATGGGCCCTGCTGATGTCTGATGGAGTTGCAAATCTTCAAAGCACGGGAAGTGGCAACTAATATTGATACTACCAATCTTGGCGAATGACTTTGGCCTCCCGTGAAAAAAGTCCCAGATAAAGAGGTCATTGCTCGCACGTCTAAACAACACACTAAATGGATGTGTCTACATGCACAAACAATTATTACCTCTCCCCTCAAACCAGACTAGCTGCCATTCTAAACGTGTTAACCTTAAGGAAGCCTTTGGGTTTGACTTGATATTGCAGAATCTACATCGATGGGCCTTTTGGAAGTCCCAGTGAAGATGTTTTCCGTTACAATACCAGTATATGTATTGCCGGTGGTGTTGGGGTCACCCCATTTGCAGCAGTATTAAATTCACTTCTGTGAGTATTTGACAGAAAAGTTTTGTTTTCCTTAGGTATAGGTCATTCCATGAGGTTGGAGCACAATTTGTGACGGTATCCTTGTTACATGGGTAACTCTCACCTCCTGTCATGACCTGTAGAGTAGGTCATTTACTCTGTAAAAGTAGCCAACACTTTTGTATTCAGCCTTGCGAGATGTATAATTTGGAATCCACATGCAGGGAAATAGCTGTTCATTTTTACGAAACCCACGTAACAATGGACACCGTCGCAAACTGTGCCCCGACCTCATAGAATGACCTGTATACATCAGGGTTTTCCTTGCCTATTAAAATCGGGTGACCCATCTCACTTTAGTGATGACCTCAATCTTTTCTTGCTAATTTTGCCAACTTACACTTGAAAAGGCAAGGCAAAGAAAACGAAAGTCAAAATAACAGAAATCCAAGGGGGGTAGCTGAAATTCATATTGTTCAGACTAGAAACAAAGGCACAAGTACAAGATTAATTTATTTTTGAGGAAGTGAATTAGGAGTTAATGCACTGTAAGCCTATTATATTTGCTGGGGGCATGTCAGTTTTATCAGAATTTCTTTGGCCACCTCATCTTCATCAGCACCCCTGGGGAAAACCCTGGTATGCATTGTGCCGGTTACCTTCCATTTGCCAATCTTTGGAATATTCGAGAATTTTCTAATTGGCAATAAATATCACCATCATTTTCCCTTAAATTTTATCTAGATCCAGATTTTTTTTTGGGGGGGGGTTTGGCCTGTGTTTTAAATTGAGTTAGAAAACTAACCCTGGTGAAATTCATTCAGAATGATGTGCAGGTGATAAGAAAATGCCACTCCCCTTCCAATTTATTCCCCAATTTACGAAGCAAGTAGTAAAAACATGTACATGTATGTTTTTGCAGGGTTTGCGTCCTGTTTTTAGAATTCTTCATTTTTCCTACTGATGTATTTCAAGTTTTACTCTTTTGACATTTTTAGTCTCTGTTCTGTGGGCATAAGTTTCCAAATTCCAAATTTTCAGAATAGATTTTTACAGTTATTCAAAAAGTAAATGGAATGTATGGTTATGCATTTCAACAGAGAGGCCCAACCAAACAGCACTAAGCTGAGACGGTTGTATTTCATATGGGTGTGTCGGCATGTGAAGAACTTTGAATGGTTCATGGAGACCATATCCCAGCTGCATCAAAAAGTAAGTACCCGTGTTTAAACTTTGGGGTGGTGTCACTTAGAGGCTAGGGAAAGGTTGTGGATAGTCCCCTTCTGCACAAGTGCCCCCCTTCACAGAGAACTACAGAGAGGCTTGGCTCTCAACCTAGTTCCAGCCTCTGTAAATATTTGGATAAGATTTGGTAATACAGAAACCAGGAACAGTCTTCCCTACCTCCCACACATGGCGTACGTACATCGATTAAAGTGATAACGGTGTGCTTTAACCATCCAAAGTTGATCGTCATTGCTAAGAGGTTCTTTGGACTTTGCAGATTTCCTTGTTACAACAGAAACCTTGCACTGCCAGGAATGAAAAAAATGAATAACAAAGAATGGGGACCTAAAACTCTTTGTTATAAGCAGAGTATTGACAATGCTCTTATTAACATGGTTTGAGTATATTGAGTGCCAAAATTGCCGAGTGATGTTGGCCAAATGAACCCTCTCCTTGTTGGGGGACAGACCACTTCTGAAATTTTTCCACACATATCCTTGTAAACACGTACTATTCAGAAACTCCCAAGTAATGGCGAAAACCCTGTGTTAACCACATTTTGGGGAAAATTATCAGGGGTGACTATGGGCATCACCAGAAAGAGGGTTAAGCTCTTTTGGGGGTGGGGGATGAGTAAAGCACATGACAACACACATGTCAATGCCCCACTCTGATAACTTATTTCACTTACCATAAAACTGCATCACTGCTTAAGTCCCACTACTGATGGCGTAAGTGTACACTGATGGCTTCCTATCTTTTTTTGAAGCTGTGGGAGTCCAATAGACCAGATGTACTCATCCTGAGGCTGTATGTGACCGGTGGGGAGGAGAGAGACCTTCAGGGCACCAGTGCTGCCCAGAAGCTGATCTTTAGCCGGGTGCGGTGGGGCAGGCCCGACCTCAAGCAGCTCTTCAGTGAAGTCACGCTGTGCAATCCGGGGTAGGTTAGGGATCGTTATTGCTCCCCAGAGTTGTGAAGAGAGTAGAGGTCCGGGATCCCTTGAGAGAAAGTGGGTTTAGTTGTGACATTAAGCAGGCGAGGGAGAAACGCAGCCCCTTCCTAACAACCCCTCAGAGGCGCCTACGAGGGGAGACAAACAGAGGAGACAAAGGAAAACAATAATCAGTGACATGGGGGAAAGTACATGTAGGAGACAAGTATCTGTCCCCTTCGTTACCGCATGTAACAATTTTCTAGTAGAAACCCTTGTCAGGAGGATCCTATGCATAGAAATTAAATTTATGAACATTTACAGTTCGTCACCTGTACGGTTGAATGGCAAATTATGCATTCAATCACAACCCGGCAATCGTGTTCTGAGACACATACGTACTCACCCCAAGCCCACCAAACTCCATGAACAGGTGCCTAAATGTTTCCAAGTTTCAGAGAAAATTTCATTTTTTAATGCTGTGTGTTGCAGGTCTAATGTCGGTGTCTTTGTATGTGGACCAAAGAAATTATCCCTGCGTGTCCACAAGCGGTGCAATCGTTGGAATCGACACAAAACCAGGCTTCATTACAACAAGGAAAGTTTCGGCTGAAGAACGGAACAGAGCTCCGTATAATTCCACAGAGCTGAAAACACCCACAGGGATTACAAAAAACCTCTTTATGGCAGTGTTGGCTGGTGCCCTGCCAACACTATTATTATTATATCCAGCAAATGTGATTGGTAAGCAGCTCTGAGGATTGGGCTTTTATTCACAAGGTAGCAATTTTGGGTAATGTTCCAGAATCTACTTTGTTTATATTATTTATTGAAGACTCTGAAATGGGAAGGAGCCAGACTACATGTACTTTGCTGCAATTATAGAAATAACCTTGCTGCTGTTCCTATTTTTTATTTAGAAAAAAAAGTGACATGATCGACTTTTTATCCACAATTTGGATTTACCCCATGGAGCAGATGGACGGTAATCTATAATTTACAATTGCTGCTATTGCATTATCTTCATTCCCACACATATTAAATTGTTAGAAATTTTATACAGGATTGACTCACTTTCAATTCAAGGTGGCTGAGGTTGGCTTCCCAGATAAGAGGGTCAACAGCTCAAGACTGCGCTGACACCCCACTTGTTCACAGGTGCCCCTCCCACTAATAGGATGTCGCAATTTAGCCTAAATTTATTCACATTTCAAGTTGTGGAGTGCCCTGCTGCAGCAATATTATGGTGTGTCCTAAGCTAAGACTAGTCTGTAATCAACCTCTGTTTGAGGAAGATACGGGAGAAGACAGACTGGCACTCAGTGGGTCAAAAACTCTCAAACTTTTAGCTATGAAACTCCACTGACGTTTGCCTTTCTGGGTTGATGAAGGGATGAACACATGTATTCAATTCAAATACAGCAGACACGAGGACAGACAAAACCACACTCACCTCAGTCACTTGCCGAGCTCAGAAAAGGCAGTATTTTCCTGACCAACAGAGGGCGCCATAACAAGACAACATGGGCAAAATCACCCTGTTCTAAAAGTGGCACCAAATCCAGTAGAAAGTAATTTACCTGTAGATGATTTTTAATTTGATTCCTTGCTGCCATTAAGTTGTCAAATTCACAGCCAACTGCCACTTCACAAGGGGAGGTAGAATGAGATGGAGCTCATGTATTTATAGACATTTTCATAATGACTGTTCCAAGAAAAAGTAATGAAAAGAAGCTCCATGCAAGAGAGTATGTTAAATTATTGTCTGTAATTTTAAGTTATTGAATTATTTATAAACAGTGTCTTTACCCTGCCAAGGACTCTTTGTATTTAACCGAAAACAGTTTCACTTACAAACTGAAGCTTGTCTGTATTTTTGTATTTTAAATTATACTTTGTACAGTTTTAAAATAATATTGAGTATTGGTGCTACTAACATTTCAAGCCTGGTTTAATAATTAGTTAGCAAAGTTATTGATTTTTTACACTTCAATACTAGGCCTACTGCTGTAATAAGCAGTTCCTTCTTTGCGGCGTGTTTGTTTGGTGATTTAGTGGTCACAGTAGCCACGGAAATCGAGACAGACTTACCTTAAACGTTGCCTTCTCCATGGATATTTTTGCGACCAAAATGTTCAACTTCAAGCTCAGCTGTTTGGACTGCCGCCATTTTGAAAGTGACGCAATAGCACTGCGCTTGCTCAGTAATGTGATTGGTTCATTACTTCGTCAGTGACTGCGCGTGCCAAAACTATTTGCATATTAAGCCACTGCAGCTTCTAACGTGGTTGGTTCAAAGTACAAGAAGTTTCCAAATCAAAATGACCTTACCTGTTTATATATGAATACAGAAATATGGATCTACATGTATTGCTTTGCCAGATTTGTGCGTATAGTTAAAATTCAGTAAGTGATGACATTTTGATTTTGTGAGCAAATTAGAAACTGACATTCGTGCACTTTTTAATCGTTTCCATGCTGGCACCCTGCGAAATAGGTCTCAGAAATAATGAAAATGTAATGTTTTGTGGTGGGAATACCACCGAATCAATGTTTACAAATCGTTAACAAAAGTAAGATTGTAACTTTGTTTTTCTCGTATGATGTGAAGCACTCCAGGTTTAGCAGATACAGGGGGAGGAGAAAGGAGGCCATGCCCCCACCCCCAAAAAGAGACTCTAACAATTTTACAAATAAAAAAGAATAAAAGGACGATTTTCTTCTCTGTTTTATTTCTCTTCCTTTCCCAAAGCGTGTAGCTCCAAAATATATCCTCCCCTCCAAAAGGTCATACTAGGTTACTTGAAAAAAAAATTCCCAAACCACTTTGGCTTTCTTAATCAATTCCCCAACCAAAAATTCGGCTCTAGATCCGCCCTTGACTCCAGTTATAGAAATCCATGAAGGAAATGAGGAAACTCATCCAGACCAAACAATGACAGTGCAGCTTTTTGTAGATTGTGAGAGTACATCCTGTTTGATGATCAGTGTTTTGACTACCGGCCAATTTCATGTAATTTCTTATTTTTATCTGGTATGTTTTCAGACAAGTATTTCCCCTTTCTGACCAATTTTTACCAGGAACTTCCTCAACAAAAATCAAGCCACATCAGCTAAAACAGCAAAGATTTGTGCCCACCAATAAAGAGGAACTTGTTCTCAATTATTTTATAACAATATTTCTAAGCTTGCGCTTTTCAAAACACATTAAAAAGTGCAGCTTCTGCGTGTTTTTCTCTGTTGTTTTAATATCTTGACTAATAAGAAAAAACAAACAAACAAACAAACATGTTTTGCTGTCAAATATGCACTGACGTGAACGCTCTAATCTGCAATGTACTTTGAAAATCTAATCTTGCATGCAAGATACATGATATCTGATAAACTGCAATACATGTACAACGGTAAAACAAGCCCGATTGATAAGGTCCTGTATTTTCTGAATTCGCTAGTATACGATGATGACATCGAGTCCTTATGGGCTGTTCATGGATCCCTTCCTGAGGAGTGCGGGTATGGATCTACATAAGTTTGAGCAAATGCTAAACCTCAGCAAGTGTCGACAAAAGTAATCTGTATAATATGGAGAGACAATACGCAGATCAGGAGCAGTACTAATCAAGGGATTGAAAGGGGTCGGGGGCGTCGACCCCAAACTGAAAGATGTATAACTCCTCTTCCCAGGGTCTGAGAGTGCCCTTTTCTACCCTTTAATAGTTATGATTCTTCTATTTATACTTTTTTCATCTGTTCTCTTATTTGTGACCTACAAATCTTTCTCTACAATATAAACACACAAACTTTCATTACACTTTTCATACGCTTAGGCCTACAATATATATCATGGGGATAATGCTAATTCAAAAGCGAGTATTGTTTTACTCTTTTCGTTTATTTACACGCATACAAAAAGTTGTTCTAAACTGTCAACATGATCAAACTGTTTGTATATATGCATGTGGAAAGAGTCGTGTTCGGGACAATGGTCAACGAGTCCGTTTGACTCCAAAAAGTCACACTGCACTGCTGGGACAGTTGTACAGGTGCTCAGTCGTTGCACGCGGACGTGTCGCTAGTTCCACATCGGGACACCTTTAGGAGCGTCTAGGCCTACACCTTGTCGGCAACAGATACCCATCAGCCCCCCTCATTTCATTGGAATATTAAGTCTCATTTCCACTCCTACCGCTCCCGACATGAGGAACATCAGACCTCGACGGTATAAGATCCGTGTACATTACGGCTATACTCTGCCGTCAGTGGAGCCCGTAACCACGCTTCCGGCTCCTGCCTCACGTCGTTTACGACTGGTGGAGCGTCCACTCCTGTTGGTAGCAGATCCATAACCTTATCTTCTTTTCTGCTGTCAACGAACGCGTGATCTCTTTTCCAGTCGCACGCTGATGGCGTCAAATTAACACTACGACACAGACCACGATGGTGCAAGCGACCCAACCGAGCACGGATAAGAATACAACGTGCGAGTTTCCCAAATTGGGGTTTGGAGGAGGAGAGAGAGAGTAGAAGTAGGGACTCGGCTCACTGGTTTCCAAAATGGACTGACTTACAGATGATTGGGATGTTGACCGCCCTTGGGAGAATTCGGGCTGGTTGTCTGCTGGCTCAACGGCTGTCATTCCCGGTTCCTCTTCTGTATTGATTAAAGTCGGCCTCGGAACAGTTTCTGTCACTTCAGACACGAGTAAGGTGGGCCAAGCGACTCTTGCCCGCCGATAGACATTATTAACAAAGCTTGTTTTCTGTCTCTCGTCTGCGAGACATTCCCACTAATCACACTGCATGTGACGGCAGTGTTGTCTCAGTTAGCCGAAATCGTAAGGCTCTTTCCATTGTTGGGCAGTTGAAAATTGTTAAGTTTTTCTTTCAAAGTTCCATTAATGTACCAAGAGTATACAACCGTGTCGCTAAATTGTTGATTGTCGTGGCAATCAAAAGAAGCCGATTTCCCCATCCACTGCACTTAGTTCAGGCGGTAAGATGGACGTATTTATTGGTAGGGTAACGGTGAGCCTGGCAATTGCAGACTTGGCTACCATTACCGAGGAACTGCTGCTGTATGTGATACATGCGTAGTTTCCAGAGTCATCTTGCGTAATACGGGCGATTCACAATAGTGCACCACAAAGAGCTTGTTCAATCATAACGCGCGGAATTTGTCGACCCTTTCCAAACACGCAATGGGTCGACAAATTTCGCACACTGTGATTGGCCAACGCGTTGCAGACTCTTGGTGACGCACTACTGTGAAACGGTCGTATTTCTTGTACATACAGAGTAGGCCTACATTCGCGTTCATGAGAGCGGATAAGGTACCTTCTCTGGAGATGGATTCCTTCACAGTAATAAAAGTGGCAGAATATAGCCCCTGTTGTCGGCCCAAAACAACCCTCCCAATTTAAGGACCACGGCTCACTGGACGGAGTGCGGGCACTATTATCGAGTGCACAGGTTGAATTTTACGTTGTCGCCCACGATAGCTTTCGTATTCTCCGGGTGTTTCGTAAGAAATTTCCACAACCTCCTTTAGTCACTGCTAAAATGACTAATACATAAAACGCAAACATAGTCATAACAGTTTGTTCAGCCAGACTTGTGGAAAAGCTGCCCACACAGAGATGAAGTTAAGATCATCTGCAACTTCGCTAAATTTCAAGTTCACACTGATCTTGTGCACCGGCGTATCTTAAATACCACGCACAAGTTCACGTTTTCAATAAAATATTGACATCAGCGATGGTGTAAAGATTCTTTCAACTAAGGAAATTTTTCTCACTGTCTTCCCTTTTTTCGAAAACTGAAAGGAAGACGTATTTTTAAGGGAAAAATCTTTGGTTTAAATGGGGTTAAATTCCTCTTCGTATGGATACAAGATTGATTATGAAAGAATGAATTTTTACCGGTTTTATGTTGTTCAAGTGAAATTGGTTACTAAATGAAACAAAAAGAAACGAAAGCTTTCATCTCAAACGCAACCACAGCCCCCACCCCTAAAAGAACAAAGAGAAACGCATAATGGCTTTGAGCTGGACTAAGTGAGGGCGCTATTTTCATAACGACGGAGTCTCAAGTGGTCGGAAATGAACTTCGACTACAGGAAATGCACACGTTACGGCCGCACCGCTACCAAGCAAAATGAACACCGCCAACCAACATGGTCCTTTTCAACCGAGGACGGTGCTTCTGCTAGAGGCATTGCGAGAGACAAACTGACGACAGATTGTAAAGTTTATTCAAATCAATTTTTATCTTCATTTTCAAAACACAGCATATGACAAAGGGAACATTTCAAAGGTTCATGGTTTGTTAGCAATGCCACGCCCAGATTTTACTGTCTTGCACTGTACATAATTTGAAAGGATGTCTGATATTAAAACTTTCGCCGAGTCAAGTCACAAAAGATGATGATTTGAACAGGGCGCAAATTATTATAATACCAGCGTCTATGAACATTGTTTATTTTTGCACGCTGTTCCTTTGCTATAGGCCTAAACCCGTAAAAACTGAAAAATAAGGGGGAGGGAGGGAGGGAGGGAGGGAG